GGGGGGGGGGGGGGGGGGGGGGGGGGGTGTTCACCATTGTCAACAAATGCAATTGGTATTTGAGCCAGCTTAGTTAGTAGACAAAGCAAGTGCTTTAAAGGCTATTCTAATTCTGGTAGGAAATTCCATTGATCCCAGTGTGGGAGAAGTCAAATTCCATAATCTGTTGTGCACGGGAGAATTTTTGCAATGGGTTGAGATAACGATTCTCTAGATGATTTTGAATGGTGAACCTGAAACGGAAGAAAAATCATAAAAAGGGTTGGATGTGCACCCAGCTGATTCTCTCTGATGGTTTAAGTCGGTCAACGTTTGAATGAGAGTGCACGGTATATTGTTGACTTAGATTGTGTATCTTAGTTTAGCTTTTGTAGGAATATTTATACCTAGGTTTGTAATTTAGCATAATGAGTGATATTTCATTGTCTCTAATTAATGCTACGTGCTCGGGCACCTGGATCTTCTCTCGGGATCCTGTTGAGCATTCATGATTTTATTCCCGCCCATCGAGTGCTCTACACAAGTACTCAGAGCCTATAACCGAGCCTTTATGAGAAGACAATAGATCCCCTTGGAAGTTCCCAAGGGTTTTCTCGCAGTNTTCATTGTCTCTAATTAATGCTACGTGCTCGGGCACCTGGATCTTCTCTCGGGATCTTGTTGAGCATTCATGATTTGATTCCCGCCCATCGAGTGCTCTACACAAGTACTCAGAGCCTATAACCGAGCCTTTATGAGAAGACACTAGATCCCCTTGGAAGTTCCCAAGGGTTTTCTAGTAGTCATTAATACTTTGTAATGATGATTGTTTTTACATCTTTTGAGGATTAAACAACTATTAATGGTCTGTAATACTAACATGACCCACATTAATGAAATGTCATACTTCATTTAATGCTAGCATACTCGGCCTTGAGTATCTTACTTGTTCGGGTCCTCTTACTGGCAAATTGTACATGTTTTAGCAGTTGTGGGTATCCACGTGTCGAGTTCTTATTGACATGTTGCCTAATGTCCCATCAACTGCTCCTAGTATCTATTTTCCTAGCGTCATGGGACAAGTGGCACATGGAGAGTAGAGGCTTCTTTAGCACGCCTAGTTTTTGGGGACTGTTATTTGCACGTTTGCCACCTAATTTCGAATTTCAATTAATGGTTTTTGTTTCCTCGATTTCCCGCTCATGTTCCCAATAGTATAAATGGGAAAACCTTTAGTTTTTTCGAGACTTTTTAGACGTTCAAATTCTCAAGTTTTACTATTCTTTTGAGCAGTTTTCTTCTAACCTCCCGAGCAACTTCTTCAATGAAGTCCTTTGAAGATAGTGGATTGTAAGTACTTTCTTGTATTCTTCTACTTCCTTCTCCTTCTACAGAATTCCCATGACCATTATACGTAGAACTAGGGCACTCGGGGCTTCAAATAGGCCTAGAAATACATGGAAGTTAAGGAAAACTCAGGTAAACGAGTCCATTTTAGATGACTTAAGGTCTACCTATAGAATTTTTGAGAACGTCTTCACTCTCATATTTGATCCCCACTACCACTAGATAGACATGGGGAGTGTTGACCTTATGCCTTTCCATACCAAGCCATCGTAGAGAGAGGAGTTAGGTTTCCTCTCCTCCTCCTTCTACTTAGACTCCTGAAGCGTTTGAGACTCTTTTTCCTCTAGTGTTGTATCAATCTTTTTAGGATAGTCATAGGCGTGGTTACCCTGAACGCTCGGTTGGGAATGGACCTTGAGGTGGATAAGATATTGTTTTACTATGACTTGAAGTTGGCTAGTAATGGCAAAAACTATTTGAAGTTACTGGATTCCTCTATGTATTTGGTGACACACATGCTTGACTTAGATAAAGGGTACCAAGAGAGACGCTGCCCAGTCTCCGAAAACTTCAATTGCCTTTGACAATCTCCTGAAGGTGTGGCCTCTTAACCCCGAGGACTCTTTCGCTTGGGCAGCACACGTGCTTCTTTGATATTGTCCCTATTACACCCGTTTCTCCCAAGTTCCTCCACTTTTCAATCTTTTTATCTGGGTGGATCATTCTATCAAGGAGGAAGAGGCAAACCCAAAAAACGACCCTGATTGTGACTTCGAAGCCACCCCTTCTGCACATAACTCTCCTTCCTCTGAAACAGATATGTTCCACATCCCCTTGATCACTGCGGAGAGGTTGGAAGCTGCTTCTACAATTAGACGGGTTTTAGCCTCGGGGCCCTACTGCTCTTTTAGGACTGTGGCTACCGTCATTCCTCCGCATGCACCCCCACAACAGTCTCGGGAGCAACAATAACAAGAAGAACAAAGGCAATAACAACGGAAGACACTACTGAGGCCCCAATAATAATGACAATCATGTAGTGAGCCCCCTTTGGATCGAAGTGGCAATCGGCATGGTCATGAAGATGACTCATCCATTGAGAGTCGAGTAAAGCATCACTATGGTGTCCCGACCTTTTTAGTTGAGTGGGCCCTTTGCGCCTTTACTCATATGGGGAAGGCTGTCCTGGAAACCGACTCTATCATTCATTCCCCTGATGTGGTTCTTGCTGTTAGCATGACCTTGCACTTGGAGGCGAACATGGCTATATTGGATAAGTACGGGGACAACCGCCTTCTTCAGGGAGTGATTTAACATAACTTGGTGGTGAGTTCCCATATGCCTTTTTCATTCTTTATCTTCCCTCCGTTGTGTTCCCGTGCTCACCTTCATTCTTTTTTTCAAGCTTGCTAGTAAATGGGAGTCATCATTGATTGTTTATCAGACAATCGGACCAAAACTNCTTCATTCTTTTTTTCAAGCTTGCTAGTAAATGGGAGTCATCATTGATTGTTTATCGGACAATTGGACCAAAATTGAGAAGTCCTAGGCCAAATTGGAGAAACAGAATCTCCATATTGGCTAGGTGAAAAAGATAGTGGGCGACCAAATGAAGAACATTGTCGACATTATCCGTTAAGTCGAGGGCTTGTCCTTTGAATTGGAGAAAAATAAGACGTCTGAGGCAGAGGTTGTGAAGAGGATGGAAGAGGCCGAACTTAAAGTCTCAGATGCAAAGACTAAGTTATTGGAGGCCAAGGCTAACTGCGCGACGTTGACTTCAAAGGTGTAGGTGCTCGAGGAAGAGAAGGCCGAGGAGGGAGAGAGAATTAATGCCAGGATCAGTTCGTCATGACCTTTGATGATGGAAAAAACAAGTCCTTCAAAAAGGGCTGGGATGAGGTGCACCAATCTGTTGGGGTGGATGCCAACTCCAAACTCTTTTCATGACATATTTATGTACTCTAGCATGCAGTCGGTGCTGCAGTGGCCCCTCAAGAGGCCCAACCGAGTACAATACGATGATCCAGCTAGTATCAGCCGAGGCGGTGGCAGAGGAAAGGGCGGTAACCATAAATAAGCCCATCGCCCTAAGTGATGGGGATTCAGAGGAAGAAATGCCCCCCTCTTCGGCTCCTTTCCCCTACCTTTCCTATGCATCCTTGTGACCCTTCGATTCTCGACACCACTGCAATCAATCCGAGTAGGGCTGAATTCGGGGAACTCGAGGACATGCTTGCCGACCTAGGTGGGGAAGGTTCTTTGAGGAGGCATTAGGTTGGACTCGATGGCGAGGACCTTGGCGGTGACCTTGGTGACAACGCTCGACCTTGAAACTTCTAGGACCTTGATGGGAATGCCTATGTCTTGTCTTTTTTCTTCTTTTATGCTTGGAGAACGTAAAGACTCTTGTTTGTCAATGCGTTTTCATTTTTGTTCACTTGTAGGCTTCAACTTTTATGCATGTTTTTCTGGGAGTCGTGCTCCATGTGGAAGCATTCCCTAACGACCAATCCTGAGGCTCGTTAACTTTTTGATGGCGGTACTCCAATTGTAGATGATTATCTTTCTTGGGGTCATACCCCTAACGACTAAGTTCGAGGCTCGTGTTAAACTTTTTGAGGGCGGTGCTCCAAGTTTGGAGGCTTACCCCTCTTGGGGTCATACCCCTAACGACCGATACCGAGACTCGTATTAACTTTTCGAGGACAATGCTCCAAGTGTAGAGGCTTACCCCTCCTGGGTTCATACCCTTAACGATTGAGCCCAAGACACGTGTTAACTTCAGGCAAATCTTTGAACAAAAGTTTACTTAGTAATAATATTTCTTTTAAGTTTTATAGTAATTGCAGATTTTGAACCTTGAGCAGAACTCCCTAAACAGTTTGCTATTGAATTGGGTGCCATTGTCGAATATGATGGCGTGCGGGATTCCAAACTGGGTGATGATATTTTGGCATACAAATTTCTTGGTCTCGACATCCTAGATGCGGCTTAGGGGCTTGATCTCGATCCATTTCTTGAAGTAATCCGTGGCAACCAGGAGGAACTTCTTATTTAATGACGCCCTTGGTAATGGGCCCACTATGTCTATGCTCCATTGGGAGAATCATCATGGACTAGTTAGAGGGTTGAGGTCTCCCGCTGGCTGGCGGATAATAGGGACAATTTTTTGGCACTTGTCACATTTATGAGCATACCTTTTTGTTTCTCTTTGCATATATGACCACCAATATCTTTGAGACATTGCGCGATGTGCGAGGGACTTTCCTCTTGTGTGAATGCCATAGATCACTTCGTAGATTTCATATAGCAACGACTTAATCTTTGTCCTCGGGAACACACAATAGGTATGGTCCCGAGAAGGATCTCCGATATAACTTCTAGTCGAGGTATACCCAGAACTTGAGAGCTTTTAATTTGATCTTTCTGACTTTTTTGACATCCTCGGGGAGTGTCGTTCATCAGATACTTGACTACGAGGTCCATCCAACTTGGTGGTATGTCCCGGGTGTCCATTCGAAATACCTCCTTTGCATCTACGCCCTTTATATTTGGGCTCTCCATGTATTCTACAGTAATTCGTCGAGTGACCTCTGAAGCCAAGGCCGAGGTGAGGCATTCTAATGCGTCGATGTGGCTGTTGTGATTCCTAGAGATTTGGGACACTTTCACCTTCTCAAACTTCTCCATTCATGACTTCGTCTTTTGGTAATAGGCTTTCATTCTGTCATCTCGGGCTTCGAAGTCTCTATTGACCTGGTTGACTGTCAACAGGGAATTACAGAAAACACAAAGGTGTTTGATCTTGACAAAGAGTGCCATGTCGAGCCTTGTTAATAGTGCCTCGTACTCGATCTCATTGTTAGATGCTTTAGATCCGAGTTTTAGGGTTGGCTCTATTGTAATCCCTCTAGAATTAGTCAAAATTATACCCATGCCTACCCTTTTTGCATTCGAGGACTCGTTAATGTGCAAGCTCCAAGTGGTATTATGGTCAGGATTTGCAGGAATTTCCTTTGTAAGGGTTCGGACGTAGAGAACTCGGCAATGAAATCAGCCAAGACTTGCCCCTTGATGGAAATGCAAGGTTTATATCTTATTTTGAATTCTCCCAACTCTGTGGCCCACTTGACGTCCCTCCCTGACATTTCTGCTTTGTGGATGATGGGTCTCAAAGGTGGGCTCGTTAGGATCTCAATGGGGTAGGCTTGGAAGTAGTGCCTCAACTTACTTGCCGATGTCACCAGCGCAAGTATGAGCTTTTCCATCGGTAAATATTTAGTCTCGACGTCAAGCAGAGTTTTGCTGACATAATACACTAGTTTCTGGACACCATTGAGCTCCTTCATCAGCGCTCCACTGACCACATACTNCGGATAATAGGGACAATTTTTTGGCACTTGTCACATTTATGAGCATACCTTTTTGTTTCTCTTTGCATATATGACCACCAATATCTTTGAGACATTGCGCGATGTGCGAGGGACTTTCCTCTTGTGTGAATGCCATAGATCACTTCGTAGATTTCATATAGCAACGACTTAATCTTTGTCCTCGGGAACACACAATAGGTATGGTCCCGAGAAGGATCTCCGATATAACTTCTAGTCGAGGTATACCCAGAACTTGAGAGCTTTTAATTTGATCTTTCTGACTTTTTTGACATCCTCGGGGAGTGTCGTTCATCAGATACTTGACTACGAGGTCCATCCAACTTGGTGGTATGTCCCGGGTGTCCATTAGAAATACCTCCTTTGCATCTACGCCCTTTATATTTGGGCTCTCCATGTATTCTATAGTAATTCGTCGAGTGACCTCTGAAGCCAAGGCCGAGGTGAGGCATTCTAATGCGTCGATGTGGCTGTTGTGATTCCTAGAGATTTGGGACACTTTCACCTTCTCAAACTTCTCCATTCATGACTTCGTCTTTTGGTAATAGGCTTTCATTCTGTCATCTCGGGCTTTGAAGTCTCTATTGACCTGGTTGACTGTCAACAAGGACCACATATTCCGAGACTGATAAGTAGAGGCTCAATACTTCGTCGGTAGCCTACGAAAGTATGACCTAAAATTGAATGCCTCTTAAGTTTGCATTCGAGGTGAGCTCGGGTAAATTTCTAGGTTACCTAGTTACTCATCGAGGCATAGAAGCCAATCCCAATCAAATACAAGCCGTGCAAATGATGCAAAGGCCAAGGACCACCAATAACATACAGAAGCTCACTCGAATGCTGGCGGCCCTCAATCGATTTATCTCCAAGTTGTTCGATAGATGTAAATCGTTGTTTTCCATGTTCAAAGAGGTGGCGAAAGGCCCCTTGTGACGAAGATTGTGATCAAGCCTTAGAGGGAATCAAGGAGTATTTAAGATCACCTCCCTGCGAGGGTTGTCCCAAGGTCCCTGAGGTGGTCGGCTTTGTGTGCACTCTTTACCAACANTTCTCCATTCATGACTTCGTCTTTTGGTAATAGGCTTTCATTCTGTCATCTCGGGCTTTGAAGTCTCTATTGACCTGGTTGACTGTCAACAAGGACCACATATTCCGAGACTGATAAGTAGAGGCTCAATACTTCGTCGGTAGCCTACGAAAGTATGACCTAAAATTGAATGCCTCTTAAGTTTGCATTCGAGGTGAGCTCGGGTAAATTTCTAGGTTACCTAGTTACTCATCGAGGCATAGAAGCCAATCCCAATCAAATACAAGCCGTGCAAATGATGCAAAGGCCAAGGACCACCAATAACATACAGAAGCTCACTCGAATGCTGGCGGCCCTCAATCGATTTATCTCCAAGTTGTTCGATAGATGTAAATCGTTGTTTTCCATGTTCAAAGAGGTGGTGAAAGGCCCCTTGTGACGAAGATTGTGATCAAGCCTTAGAGGGAATCAATGAGTATTTAAGATCACCTCCCTGCGAGGGTTGTCCCAAGGTCCCTGAGGTGGTCGACTTTGTGTGCACTCTTTACCAATATTTCGTCAATGTAGACTTCCATGGTGGTGTCAAGTTGTTATTTGAATATCCTGTTCATTAAGCCCTGATATGTGGTGCCAGCCTACTTCAAACCGAATGACATTACTTTAAAAAATAAATCCCTTGAGGTGTGATAAATTTCATTTTCTCCTGATCGGCTTTGTGTAAAGTGATCTGGTGATAACCTGCTCGGGTATCCATGAAGGTCATACGTTTGTGTCTGGCGGTCGCATTGACAAGCTGGTCGACCTTTGAGATTGGGTAGTCATCCTTGGGGCATGCCTCGTTGATATACGTGAAGTTCACNTAAAGTGATCTGGTGATAACCTGCTCGGGTATCCATGAAGGTCATACGTTTGTGTCCGGCGGTCGCATTGACAAGATGGTCGACCTTTGAGATTGGGTAGTCATCCTTGGGGCATGCCTTGTTGATATACGTGAAGTTCACATAGACTCGTCATTTCTCGCTTTTCTTTTCGGCACAGAGAGTATTGGACAACCATTTGGAAAATTGGACCTCCCTGATTGACCCTGCCTCGAGCAATCGATCCACCTCTTCATCGACTGATTGTACATGATGAGGTGCCGATCGCCGAGCTTTCTATTTCATAGGTTTGAAGGTCAGGTCAACTTGTAGCTAATGGCAGATTACATCGAGGATTATCCTCGTCATCTAGGCAGGTATCTAGGTAAACACGTCTGAATTCTGATGGAGAAAATTTACAATGTTTGACCTTTTAGTTTCCCCCAACAACGCCCCCACCAAAAAGAACTCTCTTCATCGCTGGGACAGAGGAAAACCCTAACTAAATCTTTCGGTGATCGATCGGCTGGGTCAACCATGGGCTTGTCAACCCCCAGTCGACAAAGCTGTGGTTGTTATTTAGCCATAATTGCCTCAGGATCACGCTCTTTGGCCTTAACGTTAACCCCGATCGTTACCGCGATATAGAAACATCTCTTGGATGAGGCTTGGTCTCCGCGAATCTCCATGATCCCCTTCTAAGTAGGGAACTTGATTTTTTGGTGGTACAATGAATGTACTACCTTCAGGGCGTGCAGCCATATCTTTCTCATAATAACGTTGTAGGGTGAGTCATAATCTTTCACCACGAACTCAACAGGGATAACAACAATTTTGGTTGTGACCATAAGAGTGATCTTTCTGAGAGGAAGCGCATATGAGCCGTTGAATCCCATGTTGGGGGGGGGGGGGGTCTTCACGGGTCTTAAATCCTTTTGCGTGAACCCCATCTTCTGGAAAATGTTGTCATACATCACCTTGAATGAACTCCTCGAGTCTACTAGGATTCTTTTCACATCATATTTCTCAACCCGGAGGGTGACCAACAAGGCATCTTCGTGTAGAAGAGCAAGTCCTGCCAGGTCGGCGTCAGAGAAGTAAATTGCTTTGGATTCATGCTAAGGTTGTTTGGATGATTGCCCCCACTTCTGTTTTCCTTCAACTTCACGGCTCATGCCACCTTTTGAAGATTGGCGAGGAGTGAGTAGTAAGTGGGTCGTTCGACTGTGCAAGTGTGTATGACTTCGATTATGGTCGCTACCCCTCAGCTCGCCTTTGTTGCCTCCCTTGCTAGGCCCTTAGTGTTGGTGTTGTCAATGAACTTGTCGAGATGACCTTCTTACACCAACTGTTCAAGGAACAACTTGTAGACCCTACTGTCCTTGGTCAAATGCCAACGTCCTGATGGTATGAACATCGAGAGGTGGAATTCTTGGTGGAGGGATCCCCTTGTATCTTAGGCGGCCATTTGAAGAATGATTCTTTTTTGATCTTGTGAAGCATCTTATAGATAGGTTCTTTGTAAACAATGTTCACCCCCAGAAAGGACATATGTGGCTTGATGTCTGGGCTGGTGCCCCCTCCCACTGGGGGCTGTTTCTTTCGTTTCTTAGGATCGACAACCTTGGATTCTAGAATGACGGTCTCTTCCTCTACCTTGGAATACTTGTTGATGCAAGACATTAAGGTCCTTCATGTCTACCAGAGTCCGTTTGGTTAAGGATTGGTATAGGTCAGTGTCTCAGGATAGTTCAAGCCTAAAGGTTGTCGTTGTCATTGTCTCGAACATACCTCAACTTCATTGACCTCCAGTACCGAATCGCATACTGCTAGAGGGTTTTTCCACTCCTTCTCTTAAGTGTCAATAGCGCACCAACATCCTTTGGCATTTTACTGCTAATAGTGATAAATCGAGCGATGAAAAACTTGGTCATCTGANACCGAATCGCATACTGCTAGAGGGTTTTTCCACTCCTTCTCTTAAGTGTCAATAGCACACCAACATCCTTTGGCATTTTACTGCTAATAGTGATAAATCGAGCGATGAAAAACTTGGTCATCTAACTCTACAACGCGATACTTTTCGGGCTAGGTTCTCGTACCATTTCATGGTGGTGTCTCCGAGGCTCATCGGGAATACTCGGTACAATAACATGTTGTTGGTATTGTATATGGACATGAGCTGCTTGTACTACTAAAGATGACTATTAGGATCTGTTCTCCCATCATAGACCTTGAAACAGGGAATGATGAACTTCTTTAACAGCTCTACCTCCCTAATGACCTGGACGAACGACGACATGATCTACTTATTTTTCNATGTTGTTGGTATTGTATATGGACATGAGCTGCTTGTACTACTAAAGATGACTATTGGGATCTGTTCTCCCATCATAGACCTTGAAACGAGGAATGATGAACTTCTTTAACAGCTTTACCTCCCTAATGACCTGGACGAACGACGACATGATCTACTTATTTTCCGTATCGCCGTTCTTCTCTTTTTGGAAAATCTTCTAGCATTTAGCATTGAGGTGCGACCGGAGATCCTCCCAGGGGCCCTTATCCTTGGGTTCTCAAGCTATAGAACTCGTGCGTGATTCTACTACTTTTGTACCCCCGAAAAGTCTATGGTGGAGGTTTTCACGGGACAGAGTTCGATCGCGCTTCATTTTTCCCTTAGGTTTGTTCTCAGCAACATGCCCACCATGACCATGGGGATCACGCTCGTCGCCCAAGCAATGGTTTAAGTCCCTACCTGAGATTTCTTGTGGGGGATCTCAGGAGTAGCTCTAACAGACACTCTTGTCCTCATGTCTCTTGTTTCGCCAGCTGGTTTTTTCGACTGTTCGAAGTCGCTGAGCCGGTTTAGGACATTAATGTTATCTTTTTCTAGTTGCCTTAAATGGTCTCCCAACCGCATTTCATCAATTCCATTATTTCTTGAGCTAGGAACCCTCGCCCACCCAAGCTCTAATTCACTAGTAATGTCTGCTGTGAATTATGCCAAACTCCGTCTAATTGGTCTAAGGAGCGAGATTCCGTGACTGCAGGGGGATGGTCAGTTTTCGCGTTTCTCACACGTAGGCTACCCTCTATCTCATCCTAAGATCAAGTGGTCACCGTGCTTGTGTCACTACGGGAAAATCTGATTCGATAACTTTTCCACAGATGGCGTCAAATTGCACGGGAGAATTCCTGCAATGGGTTGAGATAGTGATCATCTAGATGATTCTGAATGGTGAACATAAAACTAAAGAAGAATTTGAAAAGGGGTTGAGTGTGCACCCAGCTAATCCCCTCTAATGCTTACGTCAATCGACGTTCGAGTGAGAATGCACGACATATTCTTGATTCAGATTGCATACCTTAGTTTATGTTTTGAAGGGGTATTTATACCTAAATTCGTAATGATGTCNGAATTTGAAAAGGGGTTGAGTGTGCACCCAGCTAATCCCCTCTAATGCTTACGTCAATCGACGTTCGAGTGAGAATGCACGGCATATTCTTGATTCAGATTGCATACCTTAGTTTATGTTTTGAAGGGGTATTTATACCTAAATTCGTAATGATGTCTCTCATCCAGAGTCTCATCCTAGAATTTAATGGCCTGAGTTTGCAATCTAGCATAATGAATGTTATTCTGTCATGTCTCATTAATGCTAAGTGTTTGGGCACCTAGATCTTCTCTTAGGACCTCGCCGAGCATTCATGGTTCAATCCCTAGCCATCGAGTGCTCTACATAGGAACTTGGAGCCAATAACCAAACTTTTATGAGAAAACATTAGATCCCCTAGGGGCTTTCCCTCAGTTTAGTAGTCATTAATATTTTGTAATGATGTCTATTTTTANAGTTTGCAATCTAGCATAATGAATGTTATTCTGTCATGTCTCATTAATGCTAAGTGCTTGGGCACCTAGATCTTCTCTTAGGACCTCGCCGAGCATTCATGGTTCAATCCCTAGCCATCGAGTGCTCTACGTAGGAACTTGGAGCCAATAACCAAACTTTTATGAGAAGGCATTAGATCCCCTAGGGGCTTTCCCTCGGTTTAGTAGTCATTAATGTTTTGTAATGATGTCTATTTTCACGTCTTTCGAGAATCAAATAGCGCTATTAATGGTCTGTCATACTAACACGACCCACATTAATGAGTTGTCATACTTCATTTAATGCTAAGTTTCGAGTAGCGTACTCGGTCCCGAGTATCCCACTTGCTTGACTCCCCCTCCTGGTAAATTATATATGTTTTGACAATTGTGGGTATCCATGTGTTGAATTCTTATTAGCCCTAACGTTCCGCCATGTGGGTTTGGAATTGAAAGCAATGGCAGGACAAATTGGAAGAGGAGACATAACTGCTTTGAAATATGAACCGGTGTGTTAGTTCCTCCGACCTCTACTTCAAAAACCAACCTTTAACAATTTCACCACTCCAATACACTTGATATCTCAAATATTAATCCATAATTTATTCCATTATATCACTATAAAACGCTACCCATATTTTTCTTTTTTTATGTTGGAGAGAAATACTGTTTTCTTATCGAAGGGTGAAAATACGAATACATGACTCATGTGGCAAATTTGTTACTAGATTTTTGTCAAGTGGTAAAAATTACAAGATTTTAATGTTACACAATTTTTTTCAATTTCCTTGTCATATTATCTTGTATTGAGGGACTCACTTATTATGTCCGTAGCATTGTTGGGTAAGGTAATATTGTAAGAGGAATATAAAGTGAATCGGTTTCGTGTATTTGTAGGGGGAGAGTAAAACTAAGAGTCAAATGGGCCAGGCCATGAAAACAAGGAGCCGAGGGAGAAGGGACCCGGCCGTCAAAACGGCGACTTGAATGGAAACAACACTCACTTGTTGGGAGTGTTGTGGGTAAAATTATCAAATTTGACCAGATCCCGCCTCATCTTCGTTGGCATGGGTCCCACTCAAACACCTCACGTGTGGGTTTGGTCGGCTGGGGATTGTCAACAAGTGTCCATAACAATCCAATCCTACCCTACCTGCTTCTGATATGCGTAGGACCCATATTTTATTTTATTTTTTATATCATACAAAAAATAATTAATATTGGTAAATATTTAGATCATTTGAAGTTAACTTTTTTAGGTGCAAAATAAAATTTTAATTAGTGAAATAAAAAAATCAAGTTAAAAAAACTCTTGGAATTGTCTCTAGTGTGTTAAAAAAAAAATCAACTTTTCTTTAAAAGTTCTTGAATAAATCTTATTTTCAAATTTTTCTTTAGTGCAGATAAAAACTATTTTTGTTCAAAAAATTGATAAAAAAACCACTGCCCAATAACTCGGGACCGAGCTTCTTTTCCTTTAAAACCAAAAAAAATAACTGAGATATATATTTTTTTGAACTAAAGTCTAAATAGATATATTATTTTGAAGTATTTGTGGCATTTTGATACTTTGACCAATTTTTTGGTACTAATGTCTATCCTATGTTTATATCTTGGGAAATACAATGGTACCGACTTTTTAATTTTTGATACTATAAAAAAAAAAAAAACTGAATAAAAAATTCTACCCCCAAAATGTGAATCCCAAAAGTGAATATATCGTAAAAGTTAGTAAACACTCAAAAATAGTATAGCTACCTAAAAAATATGGTAAAGTAATACAGTATAAATTTTTTTTTTCAATAGTCACTCTTATACCCTTGTCTTTCTCTTGGTTGCAACCAAGGACAGTCGTGTGGATGAGAAAACAGTATTCACGTTACATTCATTCATCTCACCAAGAAGAATAGTTTTTTTCCGAGTGGGCAACTAACATTTCACTACAGCAAATGCAAGTTCGATCAAAGTCCAAAAACAGTTGTGCCTCATGGGCTGGTACTACCATGGCAAACTTTCAAACCAGGGGCAGCATCAAAGCATGAAAATTCGAAGAGTAATGTAGTGGTGACCTAGAATTGTCTAACATTGCGTAGTGAATAATATTAAATATAGGTACAACCTTCAAACATCAGTCATGCAACGCATTTTATGTCATGCAGGTTTAATTTAAAGCAAGCAATATTTATACGATGCAGGTCAGATATCCGAGTATGTGATGTGAAGACCATGTAGTTTGTGACCCTGGTCTGATAGGACGGTAGCATGCTCATTAACCATGGAAATGCAGAGGGCTCACTTGAAACATAATTCTCTTATGCATCATATTTAGGCATATCAATAGTCAGTTCTTGCTACGAATTAGTCAACAACATTCGATGAAACACACACTAGTCTTTCTCTCAAAAAAAAAAAGAAGAGAAATTTATATTGTAGAATGTTCTAAGTGAAAAGTTCTTAACTACATAACCAGGAGAAAGTTCTCAAATTTTTACGAGGATTCCTTCTTAAATGCCATAACATATTATGCAAATATGCTCAAGGGGCCAGTCTGGCTTGACGAATCCAGTCCATGTTCATTATTTCGCAGACTTGCAATCCATTTCCTGCAGTTGAAGATTTGCCTGACTTAATATTGATGGGATTGTCTTGTAGTCTAACCAATTTTACAGAATGTCTAACACGCAAACAATCTCAAGTTCAAAGATTGAAGAGACAAATAATTTAAGAAAATAGTAAGCATTGCCATAGATAAATGAGATTGATTTTTTTTTACCTTCCAACGTTGTTGCTGCCCGGATCCATAAAAATTGTTAGCCTTTTTGCAGTTTTCATGAACACGCTGCAATAAACGAATGGCGTACATTCCATAAGAGACAAATCCAAGTGCAATCTTGGTGTTCAAACTTACTGAACCAGACCAACAAGAGCAAAGATACAAATGATAAATGATACCTGAATGGTTCATCTCCAGTTTGTTTAACCGCNATAATATTAAATATAGGTACAACCTTCAAACATCAGTCATGCAACGCATTTTATGTAATGCAGGTTTAATTTAAAGCAAGCAATATTTATACGATGCAGGTCAGATATCCGAGTCTGTGAAGNAAGTTAGTAAACACTCAAAAATAGTATAGCTACCTAAAAAATATGGTAAAGTAATACAGTATAAATTTTTTTTTTCAATAGTCACTCTTATACCCTTGTCTTTCTCTTGGTTGCAACCAAGGACAGTCGTGTGGATGAGAAAACAGTATTCACGTTACATTCATTCATCTCACCAAGAAGAATAGTTTTTTTCCGAGTGGGCAACTAACATTTCACTACAGCAAATGCAAGTTCGATCAAAGTCCAAAAACAGTTGTGCCTCATGGGCTGGTACTACCATGGCAAACTTTCAAACCAGGGGCAGCATCAAAGCATGAAAATTCGAAGAGTAATGTAGTGGTGACCTAGAATTGTCTAACATTGCGTAGTGAATAATATTAAATATAGGTACAACCTTCAAACATCAGTCATGCAACGCATTTTATGTCATGCAGGTTTAATTTAAAGCAAGCAATATTTATACGATGCAGGTCAGATATCCGAGTATGTGATGTGAAGACCATGTAGTTTGTGACCCTGGTCTGATAGGACGGTAGCATGCTCATTAACCATGGAAATGCAGAGGGCTCACTTGAAACATAATTCTCTTATGCATCATATTTAGGCATATCAATAGTCAGTTCTTGCTACGAATTAGTCAACAACATTCGATGAAACACACACTAGTCTTTCTCTCAAAAAAAAAAAGAAGAGAAATTTATATTGTAGAATGTTCTAAGTGAAAAGTTCTTAACTACATAACCAGGAGAAAGTTCTCAAATTTTTACCAGGATTCCTTCTTAAATGCCATAACATATTATGCAAATATGCTCAAGGGGCCAGTCTGGCTTGACGAATCCAGTCCATGTTCATTATTTCGCAGACTTGCAATCCATTTCCTGCAGTTGAAGATTTGCCTGACTTAATATTGATGGGATTGTCTTGTAGTCTAACCAATTTTATAGAATGTCTAACACGCAAACAATCTCAAGTTCAAAGATTGAAGAGACAAATAATTTAAGAAAATAGTAAGCATTGCCATAGATAAATGAGATTGATTTTTTTTTACCTTCCAACGTTGTTGCTGCCCGGATCCATAAAAATTGTTAGCCTTTTTGCAGTTTTCATGAACACGCTGCAATAAACGAATGGCGTACATTCCATAAGAGACAAATCCAAGTGCAATCTTGGTGTTCAAACTTACTGAACCAGACCAACAAGAGCAAAGATACAAATGATAAATGATACCTGAATGGTTCATCTCCAGTTTGTTTAACCGCACCTGTTGAATCTCGGTAGAGCACATGGCTCTGCATCTCTGATCTTTCAATTCCAAACATGTTTGCCAGCCTTCTGTATAACTCTTCATAAGATCCAAGGACCGAGAGATCAACGGTCCGGCCTACATCCTCTGACTCGAGGAATACTTTGCAGTGACCAGTATCCAGGCCAAGTTTAGCTGTGTGAAAGCCATTGTTCCACAAAAACCCAGCACTGGACAGATTATCTGGAATACCTTGCTGGCCAAGCACAGATTTTTCTGCCTTGTCTAGATTCCTGTCCAGGGATCGCTTCCTGGTTGGAACTCGTGAAAGTGCGTCACTGAAACACCCAAAGATCTGCTGTTCAGTGAGTATTGGCTGTCCAAAGAGTATAAAACTGGGTGTCTTTACATTATCAGATTTCTCCAACTTATGACTAGGATTCCCCATAGATAGCAAGCAAGATATATTGTCACTGCCATTAGTGTGACATTGGATAATGCCATCCGAGACTTTGGCATGTGGATCAACCTGTTGGAAGCTGGGCGGTGGAAACAATCCCAACTGCAGTTTGTTGCTAATGTGGAGATCTGATAATTGTGCTCCAAATTGAGCATGCCTGGCTCCCTGTATGCCTGCAGGAATGTTGTCAGGTAGACAACACAAAGGACTGCTGGGCCCGAGGGGGTTGCCTGAAAACGACGGCATTGGAAATTGGCCGTCAATTGGAAAGTCTGGGTGTTGCGGTATCCGCAACTTTTTCCTGGGTGGTGAGAAGGGTGACAGATGAATGACAGGCATATTTGATACCAATTCAACTAGCCATGGGCTGACCTGCTTCACATTTTGCAGCAAATCTGGTTCATCCCATGCGACCTACAATAGAGTATGCTGGAAAATTTAAAACAAGTGGAAGCTAAAAGCAAGATCACAAGAGTGCAGACATGTTCCCCAGGTCCACAGATTCTAAATTTTTTGCAAAAAGATTTGCCATAAAGCGGCAGCTTATTGCTGAACAAGAGGGAACAAACCATAAGTAACATCCTGCACACGCAAATCGTCCAACTGAATCTGATCTTGGACTAGGATATATCATCGACATGTACCAAAAAGTGGACTCCAACCCAAATGTGGTGCATGACAAGACACAGCAACTCCTTACAACCAGTTCCTTTCCATAAAGGTTTAGGGAACAATTAAAGCAAGAAACCAAATTTGCACAAAATTAAGAATGAGTTAACTTCTTTCAGATATTTAATAGTTCATAATTTTAAAATATACTGGCATGATTAATAGCAACAATTTCTATGCACATCTGATGAACAACACCAAAGGTTAATCTTGAATCATAAGTTCTACGCAAGCATCAAAGTCTTGCCCTTCTTTTCAACAAGCATCTCAAAGAGATGTTCAAACAAAAGTATGAGAACATGTTTTTAATCTTCTTTCTTTTTTTTAACCAAAATATATGTTGCATCTTTGTGGGGCAAACTAGTAGGATGAGATATCAACTTTCAAAAAAATTCACTGAGCTGTCAGATTATGACCCTATCATATCTGCCTTTTCTTTAACAGCATTTAAATTGCAAGGCAAATAGGCCAATCTGCAGATCAATCTTGTTTTTGGCACAAAAACTTTCCAAGTGGAATAAGGTGAGACTTTACATCTCAGTCAAGTGGAATTTGCTAGTAATCAACCATTTAATCAGGTGATGATGGGATAGGCATCATATTATATACTTCAGATTTTGGGAGAAACCATGGATGTTGAATATACTACCATGCAAAAAAAAAAAAATGACCTTGTAATTTTTTGGTGACATTATTTCTAAGTCAACATAATGCTTATTTCGACCACCACATGAGATGGAATTAAAATCAAATCCATGTGTCACACTTGTGCAAGAAACTGAAGTAGAAGCATTCTTATTGCAGGCTATAACCTGTAATTCAACTATATAAGTTGCCAAAAGTGATGTAAATAATTTTAGTTTCTCGGCAATTTTTTCTTTNTGTGTCACACTTGTGCAAGAAACTGAAGTAGAAGCATTCTTATTGCAGGCTATAACATGTAATTCAACTATATAAGTTGCCAAAAGTGATGTAAATAATTTTAGTTTCTCGGCAATTTTTTCTTTTCCAATAAAAATGATATAAATAATATCATTTATAAAATAATATTTTGCACTGAATACCAAATCTTTAGGTGGATGAGAAACCAGCAATTCAACTGAGTTATGCATGGAGGGAAGTATACATTAGACAATTCTGTGTGCTAGATAAAGAGAGCCCACATGTATTCTTATTCACCTAGATTGAGAAAATTTTAGACCATATATATCTTACTTATAAACAATAGACATCAAAGATATATGAATTGGTACAGTTTGAGGTTCCAAAATACCATTCAAAAACATGAGAGCGATCTAAATGTTGTTCACCATACGATAGGGAACAAGCCTGCTGGCTAAGTGCATAATACCAATATCCAAGAAACTAATACAATAACTTCCGAACAATTTGAACAACAAAACATAAACTGGACAGTTCGAGATCCAGTCATCTGTTTTAGACTGAGATCATAATAAATGAGTAACATTACCTGGAGAAGTCGCCATGGTGAATTAGGCCAGCGGATGGGGTCAGCAACCTGAACAGAAGCTATTGTTCCCATGAACCAGCTAATCCGGGAAGAATCCTCAGTTTCAAAGGGCATTTTGAATCTCATCCCAGAGCACCACTGAATTCTCATTGCAGCACTAACAGACGAAGCCTTAACACAAAACTCGGGAGTGCTAGCACGCGGGTAATAAACAATCTCAAATGGATGCCCATTAGCAGCAAGAGATACTGCTTCAATCACCGTTTCGGGCCTTGCTCTTCCCTTCCTCCTCGTACCTCCAGGGGAACTCAAACTCCCATTACTACCACTTCTCATTAATATGTTCTCATCAGCCCTCAAGAACAACGAAAATCCCCTATAATTCCCAGCAGCAGAGTTCCACCCAGATGGGGACTCAGGACCACCAATGCCACCCCTCTTTGCCCTTCGAATCCCAATACAAAGATCCCCATTTTCTGCCCTCAAGAACACAACGGAATCCCCAGCAACCAGCTTCTTCTGGTTCACAAAAGTACTCCATCCAGTAGTTAACAAATGCCTCCTAGGTGTCCCCCTATAAATATGCCTAAACTTCCAAATTTCACCATGAACATCCTTAGCAATCACGGTTTGAACCGGGGGATCAGCTGAGTAATCCAGCGGAGGAAAGATTGTCTCAGCACAGTACCGAGGAACTGAGAACCCCCCACCATTATTCGCATCGGACTGAGTCAATGTTTTCGCAAAAGAAGTGGGGTTTTCAGGGGATTCAGACCCATTACTCCCCAAAACCCCATCATCATCATCAAAATCATGCTTATTGTTGCTAATCGGTATTAACCTAATTTTAGAATATACTTCATCGGTTTCAGGGTCGGCCAAAAACTTCACGGCAGCCACACGGCAAAGAATCAATGCTGGAACCCTAGGGATTGCCCCGAAATCAACGTTAGTGAGGGCGTGTTCGGTATGACCTTGAGGGAAATAGTAGACTTTGGTGTGAACTGGAGGCATTTGAACCATACCTCCGGCACAGGCGTGCCATAATTGAGAGTCCAAGCTCTTCTCTACCACCTCCATTTTTCCTTGTTTTATTTGTTAAATGCGATAGTTGCAATAGCTCGCTTGAGTACAGTAATGAACGGTCCCAGAAAAGAACAGCCGTAGGTTGTTTCTCTCTCTTAGTAAATGCTACGAAAAAGCAGAGTTTGACAATTCAGACAACACATTCAAACTATGTTCAAACAAAATAAGCAATTGAAAACTACTATTTACATTAGAAGATAGAGATCTATTACCTTTCACGACCTGAGATCCGAGCAACAAAAGACCATCGAAAGCAAGTCTTCAGCAGAGAGAGAGAGAGAGAGAGTAAAGAAGTCCCAATAAATACAAACTCTCAACAACTTTGTCGATTTTTTTCTTCAAAAAAAACCGTAAAACATCAGGTCTCTATGGATTTCTCTCTCTATNCCTTTCACGACCTGAGATCCGAGCAACAAAAGACCATCGAAAGCAAGTCTTCAGCACAGAGAGAGAGAGAGAGAGTAAAGAAGTCCCAATAAATAGAAACTCTCAACAACTTTGTCGATTTTTTTCTTCAAAAAACACCGTAAAACATCAGGTCTCTATGGATTTCTCTCTCTGTATATATAAATGCTTCAATACTTGCGGTTCAGTTTCGTTCAGTTTCTGCGCATACACTCTTCACTTTTAGATCTTTTGTTCGCACATTCAGACAAATCATACAGTCTTCTTCACAAAGTACCTATGAAACTCGAGAACAAATCTGATATTCAACACCGGAAAGCCCNGTTTCGTTCAGTTTCTGCGCATACACTCTTCACTTTTAGATCTTTTGTTCGCACATCCAGACAAATCATACAGTCTTCTTCACAAAGTACCTATGAAACTCGAGAACAAATCTGATATTCAACACTGGAAAGCTCTCGGATTAGCAAAAAAACCGCCGGAGAACTAATCGGCAGTTGAAGAACACACAGTACAAACACTAATCGTAGTCGAAATACAATCCATATAGGTAATTCACAGTTTAAATCTCAGACTTCCAACACTATACTCTTAACACACAATCAGATTATAGAGAGGGAGAGAGAAAATTCATGGCCGATAACAGTGTTGCAGAGCTAATACTGTTCTATATAACAGTACATACAGATCTAAGTGCTTCGAAGAACAACAGGTCACAGAAAGCGACTTTTTCACTCGAAATCTTTGCCATCACAAAACTCCAAAGCTAGAGTTGAACATCCGCACCCCACCTGTGTCTCATTCTCTCTCTCTCCTCTCATTTTTGTTCTTATCCCCTCGTCTCTCTCCAGATCTGTTACCACTTACCATAACAAAAACAAAAAGTAATTATCATCAGGTTAATAAAGTTGATTATTATATGATTTTTGTGATTAAGAAGATAAATAATTCTTCCTAAATTAATCTAATTAGATTAAGAAATAAAAAACCTAAATAACACTTTGTACCCTCTAAACTATGCCCCTAATTCCACATTGTCTTTTAAACTATCGACTTTTTAAGATTGCACCCTTAAACTATTGGTTTGAGTTTCACACCGTCTCAATAACAAACATTTGTCCAATGTTTTAAAGGCGGTCGAGAAAAAAAATTGAATTCAACAATGTTAGGCGAAATGTTATTTTTTTCTTATTAATGTCATTATTTTTTCTTTTATGTTCTATAAAAACTACGGCTAATAATCAAACGATTTTTGAACTGAGACTGTTGAGTTTATTTTTTAAAACAAGAATAAAAAAATTGTTCAAGTTCGACTCGTCTCGTTTTTTAAACGAGTCGATCCTAATTCAAGGTAGAATAGTTCGGTTCAATTATCAACCTTAATCAAAAAAAATTTTAATTTATTTATTCAATCCAATTACACATATAATCTATAATTTTTTTTTATAAATATAACATAAAATTATGATTTAAATTTATTCAAGTGTAACGCATGTCATACATTGCTAATAGTTTATAAAATATAGTTTGAGAAAATAGATAGTTTAAGCCTTTAAGGTATAATGTGAGAAAGGGAATAATTAGGAAGTAATGTAAAATCAATGATATAGTTTAGGGGATTTAAGTATAATTTTTGTTAAAATAAAATAAAATAAAAAAAGATTTTTACTTCATTTTCTATATTATATCGCGAAAAATTGAAAATGAATGTGCGAGTATTCTTTTTGTACTGGTCTGAATTCTGAGCAGAGGACAGTGAAGGACTGCCCCCTGGACAGATTGACCGCAGTTAAAAAAAAAAAATTGGTCAGCTTAACTATAGTTAAATACAGAAGCCCAGCCCAACACAGCAGATTTGGTGATTTTTTGGTTTTTTACCGTCTGGTCCTTGCCTCGCGATGCTTTAAACTAATCTTCAGCCAATAGCAGCCGAAAGCCAAAGAGAGAGAAAGTGTACGTAGTGTTGACATTATCTGGTTGCTTTATATGCGGTCACTCAGTCCAACTTCACCGCCACTATTTTTGGGTCATTGCTTCGTTTTTATACTATTAATTCATTTTTTTTTTTTTGACAAATCATTTAAGAAATCCAATTGTATTTAATAATTTTTATCTGAATGCATGATAAATAATCCGCTAAGAAAAAAATTGTAAAGAAAGAGTATTAGAAATATTTGTAAACACATTATGAATTCGGAAATACGATAATGATCACAATTTTGTAAGATTAATTTTAACCTGATATCTTTTACATGCAGTTCAACTCATTTTTCGAATATGTTGATCATATTGAATTGAATTTTTAATACGATATCAATAAACTACTCTTAAATTTNTGTAAACACATTATGAATTCGGAAATACGATAATGATCACAATTTTGTAAGATTAATTTTAACCTGATATCTTTTACATGCAGTTCAACTCATTTTTCAAATATGTTGATCAAATTGAATTGAATTTTTAATACAATATCAATAAACTACTCTTAAATTTCATTACAAAACAANCCCCCCCCCCCCCGGTCTTCTTATGGTGTTAACTACCTTTGAAGTTGTCTTTGTAGGTGTTTAGATTAGAGGAGGCAAATGGCATACTCATGGCGAAGAGTCCTCATTCGCCACATTCAAATAAGGCAAATGGCATTCAAATAAGGCAAATGGATCCTTGTATGCCACGAGATTTGTTATCTTTGTTATTTCGATTTCATTTTGCATTCAATTTGTTTAGAGTTGATTTTTTTATGTAAAAAATTATGATCGTAAAAAGTGAGAGTTAAAAAAATATTACAAAAATGTTTAGAGTGCTCTTTCAAAAACTGAAAAAATTAAAAAAATTTATTTGGACTTTGAAGTGTGACTTTCTAACTTTTTGGATTTTTTGTGTCAAAATAAAAAATAATTACATAAATGTATAGACTATACATAATCGTTCTCAGAATATGAATTTTAAAATTTTTTACGTCATTAATAATATTATATGAATATAATAAATTAAAAAGTTATGTGAGACCCATAATAAAACTTTAAAACATAGTAAGAAAAGTTCATAAAATTAATTTCTTGAATCAGCTTAAATAAGTCTTTTTGTGTTTAAAAAACTGATGTATAAGTTGATAAAAAAAGCCAAAGTCCAAATGAACACGACTTATTTTACTCCAAAACCTTTAAAACTACTTATTTAAACTAACTCAAGATAATCTCATTAATATTCGTGTCTTTTTTTATATAATTTGAGAATTATAAAGCATTAGAACTCTCCTTTCTCTTAACTTTATTATATCACTCGTGCATACCCAAAAATTAAAAACCTAGTTGACTTCGATTGTAGCAAAACCAAATCAAAAATCATTTTAGTTTAAAACAATTTCTAGAATAGTTATGGATGCCTAAGACTTAAGTTCGAGTCTTTTAAATTGTATATAGTCGTCCTTACTAAATAAATCTGACAAGTCAACTCGATTATGATTGTAATTCATTAAAATTAAACTCATATTAGATAATTTAATAATGATTTATTTCTTGTTGGATTTTCAAATTGTCTAAATAATGGTAAGAGTTATTTTCATCGTGGTTTATGAACATTTCAAAGTTTTTGGAAAGAAACCAATCATATACATCCATTTAAGTGATGATGATAAAAATTATGTATTGAGTTTTACGCCCAAAATTATACTCTATTGAGATACATCCTCCTAAATAAAACAACAAAAATCATTATAACTCCAAATACCAAGAGCTAAAGCCGTTGGCACAAGAAAGATAGCAATAAGAACAAAATGACAAGAAGTAGTTGGAGAATTTGTCTCTAAGCTAAGAAGTAAAAGAAAGTGGACAGCAATGGAATGAGAGTTTTGTTTCAATCCAAAAAATAAATAGGCCTTCTAACCGAGGAATTCAGATCGTTTTCAATACTTTATATATATATATATATATAAATCACTCACCATATATTAGGGTGTGACCAATTGGATACAATGACTCTTACTTGAATTAACAAAAAAAAAATTTATCAAAAAAATAAAAAAAAATAATATCGAAGAGGATCTCTCCCAAGCCAAGCATATTAAATGGCATTCTAAGACAATTAGATGAAGGGTCGATATTTTCTATACCCCTAAGGGTCAATTATTCTTACTTTTGAAGAGATATGTTTATAAACTAACACAAGCTATGGTAGCCGGTCTTAAATAACTTGAGGGAATAGCTAGCATAAACTTGAACATTCTGTAACAAAAAAAAAAAAAAAAAGAGGCAATAGATGAAGAAGGAACATTGAGACAGACATACCAATTCAAGCCAATTACTCTAAAATGACCTTTCAACCAATGAATGTGACCACAAACATATTTGTCCAAGGTAAATACTGTTTTTTTTTTTTATTACAATCCATAATTGTCCCGATTGCCAATTTTTTTTTAATTTTTATTTACACTATAAACTCAAGATATCCATAATTAGTGGTAAATCAATAAGAAAATATCTTGATCACCGAGGGGAGTGGTCCAGTGGGCGTACCGGTTAAATTTATCACCTTGAAATTAGATGTTTGAATCTTAGAGTCTACATTAGAGTTCGATAGTTGGCTGT